TTAGGGAAGGGATTAGGAAAAACTAAAAGAGGAAAGTTTAGGTAAAGAGGGATTGGTTGAGAAGGGGTATAAATATCCCACTTATGAGGCAAATCAACTTGCCCAGAGTGGAGAAAACCCAAGGTAAATTTCTCTCTCTCTCCTCCTTATTTTTCTTTCTTTTTCTTTTCCCCCTTCCCCTTTCTTTTTTATTCGGCTGCTCTTTGCTTCCCCTATCGCTACCAGCAGCGTCAGCCGCCGGCAGTAGGTGGCCGCCGCTGCCAGCAGCCGGCAGCCGGTGGCTGCGTCCTTTTTCCCCTTGTTTTTCGAGCATGTATAAAAAAAATTATATTTATTATTTTAATTTAATCTATGCTTAAATCTAAGTGTAAATTATAAGTTTTGGGATTTGATTTTTTATGTTTGATTATAATTATTATGTCAATTAATTTTTATATTTGATTTTAATTAAAAAAAGGCCCCAATTTTTGAAACCCTAGGTTCTTGATTTATGAATTATTGAAGGGTTATGATGTATATTGGTTTAGATCTTTGTTTTAAGTGTTTTAAAGCTTGATTACAGCAAGTTGTTAAAATAAAGTGCTGGAGTTTTATGTAGAACACTTAATATTATAAGTCTTGAAGGAATTTTAAGTACCCATTAATTGGGACTTAATTATGGTGTTTTAAATATAATTTCAGCTTACATAATTAAATTATGAGGGGTTTTAAAATAGTATATATTGTTGAAAATTTGTTTAGAGCGGATTTTAATACTCTAATATGATTTTAATGTGTAGAAGACTTCGAAGTAAGCAATTTCTACTAGTTGTGGCAATTTTAAGATCGTACTCAAGGTACGTTCGCGTACTTAGCATATTTTGATGATGTAGAATCATGTTAGGCTTGATTTCAATCAATTACAAGTAGTATCATGCTAAGGTTTATGTATGGAATTGTGAATTAATGGTGTTGGTGATTGAATTGTGAAGCATGAATTATTTGTGATGGTTTATGGACTGGAAAATTATATTTTGAGCATGTTGTGTTTGAACCACACTTTTATTTATGGCATGTTAGAATGCATGATTAATTAAGCTACATGTTTAATTATGTTTGGAATATCGAAAAGGAATTTTATTATGGTTCAAATAATTTTTATTGATGCTTTAAGCATGAGGAAGGAGCTATATAAGTGTTTATGTACACAAGGGATAAATTGTATGTTGGTGCCTTTGTGCACTTAAGGTGTTTTAACAGCGAGGGATAGGATTTTTGGCGCTTTATGCGTTTAAGGTGTCTTTGACACTGAGGTAGAATTAAAAAGGGTTCAACATTAAATAATATGTGGTCACTAATTATTCAAGAATTAAATTGGTATGTTTGGTTGATTGAATAATTATTGTTGATTGATTTATTATTCTTTGAGAGTCATCACCAAGATCAATAACATGTAAATAATGTAAAGTGAAAGAGATTACGCACCAAAACTCTTGGAACGTATATACCTTGAGTATGAACAATGGAGGGAGTTATGGGGTTTTATATTTAACCATAACTTCTAATGGAGTACAAGACGCTGTACATTCCTTTTTATTTATTATTATGCACAGGAATTCCACCACCTCTGAGTGTTTTTGTCGCTGGCACGGTTAGCTCCCGTGTCAGTTAACCTCAATTTATTTGGGGGAGGTATAGTTGGAAACTCGTTCGATGCGTAATCAACGCTAAATGAATTATTTAGTGTCTAGTTAAAGTGTCTTGTTGATTTTTTTGTGTGCTTGTAAACAGGTGCATTGAGGTAAGTGTGTGTTGATAGGTGAAAACATGTTAATGTGTTTAATTACGCTTATGTAGTCAGCTTTGCTAATTGTGTGTGTTTGTGTGTTTGGCCATATCTTTATCTTGGCCCTATGATGACCCATTTTTAATGGAGAGTAGTGGGGACAAGTAGATATAAATTTTTCAGGTATTGAAGCATATTGATGACGAGGCATGAGTGAAGAGTGAATCATTCTAGTTTCCATTAGTTTACGATGTGTTTTATGCTTTATTCATTTATGACATATTCTGTGTGGACTAACGTAAAGGTTTGTTTTGGAACTGTTTTGAATAAGGGCCTTTAATTGTTCCAAGTTGTAGTTTGATTTTATTTGACTTTGTTTGTTTCGGTTTTATACTTTAATTTACTTTCGTTTGGTGGACTTTTGAGTTAACTTGTTTAAACGGTTTTTAATTTTAAGTCTTCCGCTGTGTATCTTTGATAGTTGCCTTAGCCGTTTTCACGGTGGCGGTAATGTCTTAGATATTCCTAAATCGTATTTTAAAGAGTAAAGTGGGTATTTAAAGGAAAGGAATTTCTAGGGTGTTACAATAGAGGCTTAATCCGAGGCTTAAAGAGACGGAAATTAACCCTAAACTCCGGCGAAAAACTTGTGAACTTGTGCTACCTAACCCCTCTTGTCCTAAACACTCACCCCTTTGATATTTTGTTACTACGGTGGAGGTTCCCCAACAAGAAGGAGTCCATAAGCGTTCTAAACGGATATCTAGCAAAGATAGGTGGTAAATTCCCGAGCACCTTATTAGATAAATCATTTTTATTTTCTTGTTTAAAATAACTTTAATTAATTAATTAATTAGTGTTGCTTGATCACTTTAAAACGTTTAATTAATCAATTCCACATAGTTTCTTGCGTTAAATAAGATTAGAATTGAATAATTAATTGTTGGTTGATCACCTAAGCCAAGGCGAATATTGTTTATTTTTTGTCATATTCACGAATTTGATTAAATAAAGAATAACGACGTTGCAATGTAATTCCTACGTGAATTAATGTGTGTAAATAAAATCAACTAACTTAGTTTTAGGTATCGCGTTGCATATATTATTTGGTGATGAAATTGTAAAAAAGGAAGAGCTAGTAGAGGTCGTATTAGGGCTAGGATAGCAATTCCCCCTAAAGGGAACGATATTTTAGTACCCTCACTCCCGAACTCATTTCTGGTTTGTGTAGACCAATTTGGGCATGGGAAAACTTACGATTCGTGCTAATTATTCCATGAACTCCACGTGGAAGAAAGGCATGAACAAGATTTATGAGTTTTCCCAAAACTCATTGGCGACTCCTACTTGTTTCTTATAAAATAAGCGTGATGACAATATCAATTCTAATTCAAGGTCCCATAAAAAGTCATGAATTCAAATCCTACTACACCTTAACTACTGTAAATTCCTAGGCTTTTAAATGGCCATGGACATCAAAGGAAGAACCCCCTTACGATGGGATCACCCTCCTTACACCCGGGCTTTCTTTTTTCTGACATTGACTCCTACTTTAAGGTTTACCCATTACCTTTCCTTCTTGCAACCACTTTTTCATATATTTTCTCTCCCCTATATTATACCCTCTTATTTCCCTCCAAACTATTTCTCTTCCAATATCTCTCTTATTAATCCATGAATACTTTGCAAATCAATCAAATCAATTTGGGTCTCTCTCTCTCTATTCTGCTGCTCTTAATTAATTCTTCAACCATAAAGTAAGGTAAGTTTATAATCATTAATTTATGACTGGAATTAGTATAAAAATTGGGGCTTAACTTTTCTTAGAGGAGAGAAGAACAATGGATCCCTTTAATGGCGAATTCATCACTTCAATTGTTGAAGAAATGGAACAAGAATCCTAATATACCTTTCAATTAATCTAATTTGGGTGAAGATTGACCCTAATTTTTTATGGATTGATTTGGAGAGGCTTGCCCTAAAATATATATATATGTATATGTATATATACATACATATATATATATATATATATATATATATATAATATATATATATATATATATATATATATATATATATATATATTATATATATATATATATATATATGGGGGTGGGGAAATAAGGGAGCCAAATACAAAATGAGGGAAAATTACCCAGTAATGGGCTGCAAGTAGGAAAAGTAATGAGTCAATGCCCGAAAGTGGGAGTCAATGCCGGAAAAAAGGGTTCAGGTTTTATTATACAAAAAAAAAAGTCATCGTGGTGGGTTTTTTTTTTTTAATAACGAATGGGTAAAATTGGTATAAACCACTTTTTTTGTCCAACATTTTTGGAAAAATTACCTTTTATGTTTTTTTTACTAAACCACCTTTTAAGTACCTAAATTTTTTATTACACGACCCCAATTTTAAATTTAACAGATTGCATCTCAACCATCCACTTCCAAATCATCAACCATAGCAAAACCTTCCCTTTCATCTCAACTATCACTTGAATTAACTCAATTTAGGGTTTGAGAATAAACATATACTACAATTTAATATTTGTAGCAAAGTTAGGTTTGGTTTTATAGAGCTTTACTCAATTTAGTCATGCTTTTATATAGAGGGAAGGGTCAAATGTTTTTAGGGCTGAAAAAATACATGATTTAGGAGCGAAAGACACAATTTGTGGACTCTTTTAACGTCTCAGTTTAATTGTTCGTAAAAATTTGAAATAGGGGTGGTGCAATCAAGAATTTAGGTACTTAAAAGGTGGTTTAGTAAATAAAAAAACATAACAGGTGGTTTTTTCAAAAAAGTTGGACAAAAAAGGAGAGTTTATACCAATTTTGCCTAAAAAATGCTTTAAAAGATTTTTTCTTGCAAAATGAGTCAATTTAAAAAAAATTAACAAATTTTCAAAATAAAAATAAAAAGGATCACATTAAAAGGTTCTTAAAAAAAATGCATATAACATGAATAGATAAAAAATAATTTATCTTAATTTTTTGTATCAAATTCTAAACTTCTTTTTGTAATTCTATTGAAGATATAACAAATTATTATTTACACTTTGAATATTCATGAAAACTGTAGATTCACTAATTAAGTCAGAAAAACATGTCGTCAAATAAATTGAAATGTTTGATTAATATACACCATTTATAAATTAGCAATAAATCCACCACTTGATTTTATAATCCTCAAACAAAGGAAGCTAGAATATAGGATTAATTAAGTTTCCTATTTTCTAAAATGGGATTTATCGAGTAATATAACAAATTTTTTTATGTTTTGCTCTCCTCAAATGGCTCTCGTGAAATGATTACCAATAATTTCCTCCGTACATCTTCTTGTTTGTATCCTAAACTTCATGGGACTTCTTGCTTGTTCTTGTAATCAAGCCATCCTAAATAATATTTACAAATATTGATCCTTGACAGGATGGCCTTGTGGAATTTTTCGTCCCATTTTCCACTCGTTGGCCTCCTATCTTTTCTCCTCCTCCACCCAATAACAACCACCAATACGGCCTCTGTTGGGATACGCATTGGTGTAATCAGGCGGCCTTCAACGAATGCCCCTATCTTTCGAGAAGCTGCATCATATGTAAATTCAAAAGAATGTGGGTATAATGATATGGACAAAATCCATATTTCCATGACTCTTGATGCAAACTACTTACGAGGAACTATGGCAGCGGTATTATCAATCCTACAACATTCCACGTGTCCCGAGAATTTCGTTTTTCATTTTCTTTCAGAAAGGCATGAGCCAGAGATATTTTCAAACATAGCATCCACATTCCCTTACCTAAATTTCAAAATATATCGATTTGATTCTAACCGAGTTAGAGGAAAGATATCAAAATCCATTAGACAAGCCTTGGATCAACCATTAAATTATGCAAGGATTTATCTAGCAGATATTCTCCCATTTGATGTGAATCGCGTAATATATTTGGATTCTGATATTATTGTCGTGGATGATATATTAAAATTGTGGGAGGTTGATTTGGGTGAGAAAGTGGTTGCTGCACCAGAGTATTGTCACGCAAATTTCACAACCTATTTCACAGATGCATTTTGGTCGGATGGTATTTTGTCAAATACATTTCATGGAAGAAGACCTTGTTATTTTAATACTGGAGTAATGATAATAGATGTCAACAAATGGAAAAAACAAGGCTATAACCAAAAATTAGAAGAGTGGATGATGGTACAAAAACTAAAGAGAATATATCATTTAGGATCATTGCCACCTTTCTTGTTGATCTTTGCTGGAAAAATTAAAGCAGTTGACCATAGATGGAACCAACATGGTCTGGGTGGAGATAATTTTGAAGGGAAGTGTAGGAGTCTTCACCCTGGACCAATTAGTTTACTCCATTGGAGTGGAAAAGGGAAACCATGGTTGAGGTTGGACTCGAGGAAGCCATGCCCTATTGATCATTTATGGGCACCATATGATCTCTATCGCTCATCAAGGACATGGTTAGAAGACAAATAATACAACCAAAATTTATACTAGAATGAAACTAGGAAGAGAAGGAGTTTTGTTGATACTTTATGGAGAAAAACATCCAACCATAAGTTCAAGGACCATGAGATTGAACATTACAATAATGAGGGGTCAATTTATTTTGTGTGCATCCAATGATGGGTTGAAGTAAATTTTAATTTCTTTGTTTTTTTTAAATGTATTACAATGAATTAGGAATTTATTCTTCTTATCATTTCTTACATATATACTCTTCTTTAGCTTCTTTTAGTTAGATATAGTTTTATTTTACCTTGTTGATATTTAGGTATTTTTTAACCTTAGTTAACCCTCATAGTTATGTTAATGTAGGCAATTCTAACCGATCTTGTTATTTTGTATCATACATCAAAAAATTTAGGAAGGAAAAGAAAGTAACAAGTTTAGTACATATTGTAATATAGATCAGATATATTGTAATGGTTTAAAAAAATATGAATGCTAGACATTTCCTTTACACTTGTTCATTTCATAAAGTATTGCAAACTCCCAAATTTCTAAGATAACTTTCAAAATATGGTTCGTATAAATAATATATCTTAGCTTACTCATCATGTAGATCAAAGTCTCTCTATTGAAAAATATTCTAAACAATTTATATAAAGGTTAAATAATGAATATTAACCATCTAATTATGGAAAAATTGGTATAAACCACCTTTTTTGTCCAATTTTATTGAAAAAACCACCTTTTAAGTTTTTTATTTACTAAACCACCTTTTAAGTATCTAAATTCTTGATTGCACCACCCCCTATTTCAAATTTTGACGAAAAATTTAAGTTAGACGTCAAAGGAGCCCACAAATTAAACTTGTGTCTTTCGCTCCTAAATCATGTATTTTTCACCCCCAAAAACATTTGACCCTTCCCTCTATATAAATGCATGAATAAATTGAGTAAAGTTCTAGAAAACCAAACCTAATTTTGCTACAAAAATTAAATTGTAGTATTTGTTTATTCTCAAACCCTAAATTAAGGTAATAGAAAGAATGGTTTTTGCTATAATTGATGGTTTAGAAGTGGAAGGTTGAGATGCAATATGTTAGATTTGAAATAGGGGTGGTGCAATAAAAAATTTAGGTATTGTGGTTTAGTAAATAAAAAAACATAAAAGGTGGTTTTTTCAAAAAATTTGGACAAAAAAAGGTGGTTTATACCAATTTTGCCTCCACTAGGGGATCCAACACGTGCAATGCACGTCTAATGGCTAGCTCTTGAAGGAAAGTTATATTAGCTTGTTTTTAAACCCTTCACAGAAAGGCATTTTTTTAAAGTTATGCTATTCTTAAGGGTATATCATGATATCTCTCTTTCTCTCCTTCCCTCTCCCCCATATGTATAACATTGCCATTTGTACATATACACTATATTGGCCATCAAAAGACCAACCTAAACCTCAAGTACAAAAATTCATGCAAATCCTAGCTTAGCTAATGTGTGCTATCACAGATTTGTTCCGACTTTATATCTAATATACAATGACAATAAAGAACTACAAAAAAGAGCTAAATAAGATGGAATTGGAGATAGCAATTGCAAATTCAATCGTCTCTGCTAGGAGATGCTAGTCCCAAAGTTTCAGTGATATGATAATTTATATGTTTCAAAATATTTCATGTAGAAAATTCAATCTTGAGAAATGAAAAGGACAAGTATAGGGTTGACACAATCAATAGTTTCCTAACCAAAACATGCTCTGATATATGGAAAAACTAAATCATCATATGCTCCAAGAGAAAATTAAATGGGCATTCACTATATAAAGCCAACTCCATAGGTTTATTACTTGAAGCTTGTCACAAAAAAACTTAAAATAGAGTGCAGAACGCACGAGAAGGCTGAGTGACCAGCCTTGTATTGGAAGGGCCAATTTCTTCCTCCTTAAGATACTCCCCATCTTCCTCTTCTTTAGTAACCTTTGATGCATGGCGACCCTTAAAATCATCATACAAAAACATATAATGAGGCAGATTGATAAATTTGGAAAATATCATATGCCAACACAACAATTTTCTAAATAGATGCTGCTCAAAACTTACATAAAGGTGATGCAATCACAATACAATATGGACTGCCACTTGCATAATTGCCTTTACCCATCAAGGTTCTATACAACAAGGGGCAATTCACTTATACCCCTATCCTAAATTGACCAAATAACAAAGACGATCTTGAGAAGCACAATAACCCATTTTGTTTACACACAGTTACCTTTTAGCTTACATTAAGAATACTTCTACCGTTATTGTTCGGAAACTCACATCTGGATAATACAGTACACTATGAATGCAATGAAATGCTCATGACAAATAAAGTAAAACAACATTTGCCTTTACCCTTCCAATTTAGAAGTTCAAGGAACACTATTAATGGATCTATATTGGGTAAAACATTAATTCACTTTCCCCAAATGACAATGCAAATCTTGAGGAGCACAAGTGCCATTTTTGTTGAAGCAGACTTACCTTTTAACTTATAATGAGCATACTTATCCCATGTATGAACAGAAACTCACAATAAGCTGACCTAAACAAAGTATATAATGGACTGCAAAATTCTCATACGAAACTAAGTTAACCATAGTCTTTACCCTTCCAAGTTCAATACATGATGCAATATGCAGCACTATATAGGGGCAATTCACCCAAAATTGACCAAATAACTAAATAAATTATGAGGAACACAATTACCTTATAGGTAACTTTATAAGAAAAGTTCTCCCATTTACCAGCACAACTATATGACCAACATGTATTTTCTAAGTAAGCAACCCTCCACAAGAATATAAAGTCACCTCTGTTCATATTAAAGGAAAACATTGCAAATAATCTGTAAAATAAAGAGCAAATAAAAGAGAGAAAGTTACAAACAACATGAAGAATGTAAGATTTCCACACAATCAACATGTGCAAAAGTGATAATGTAAGACTACCTTATAGAAGGCCAAGAATCCATTGAAGCCATGCATCTCCCTCTCAGAGTGTTAAGCCTCTCAATCACATTTGCGAACAAAAACACACACATTCATTGGTACATTTATTGGGGAATTCTACTATGGTCATTCCTCATTTTGACCACCACTATAATAAAATTTGATTGGCCAATTTTTCCTTTCCTTAAAAAGTTTATCAAACTTGTTTTCTTATTTTTCTATTTTTATTTCTTTTCTATTTTCTGAAAATTATATTTTGATTTTTTCGAAATTCTATTTTTTATATTTTGAAATTATTTTACTAAAATCAATTAAATCCAAAAATAAAATTAAATTAAAAAAATAAAAATTGTTTTTCATTGTTCTTGGCTGTTCTTGTTCTTCAAACTTCTTCAATATCCTTCATCTACGGATAAATTTAACCTCCAATTAATGATCTTAGTACTTTAGAGGTACTTGTGCATCAATGGGCATCAAATATATAGACAGATCCGAACTGTTTATTCCACATTTTTAAGTTTTTCAAATTTCGAGTTTTAGCGCAAATGAGATTGGTTATTTAATCCTTGAATAATTTGTTTTTACTATACAAAATCCACCAATTGATGCGAAATTGTCGTCTTTATGTAATCGAAATATAAATTTTAAGTTTTTCAAAAATCTGGGTTCCACGAAATTCTGAGAAGAAAATGATAAAAAAATATTGCGAAACCTATTTGATCCGAAAAAAACAATTATGTAAATTTAAATCTTGTTTGTGTATATGTAACTATGTAAATAACCCAGATACATATTGGACATTACCTATATGAAATATCTACATTAATTATTGGCTATGACCATACGTTCATTTGGACATTACTAATTATTATATTGAAATGTACTTCAAATGCTATTTAGATGATGTGATTAAAATTTAATTGGATTTGTACCAATTATGCATGTCTAATTGCCGTGTATATGTTTTCAAAAAAAAATAAAAAATTGCCGTGTATATTATGTTTTTGTACTTTCTAAATAATAAATTGACATTGCTAAATTGTATTTCCTTTACTTTGCAATTTTAAACTGGTAATATCCTACTACTATACCATTTGTGTCATAAAACCAACTATACTAAAATTCGATTCAAATTCTAATATTTAAATATTTTATATATGTATATTGATAGTTATTAATTATACTATATGTTAGTACCTATAATTAAAAACCCACAATTTTGTTAGTAGTAGAAAATTATATCTCAATACTTAAAGATTAAACAACTATAATATTAATTATTGATGAATATAATGTATATACCGAGTATTTTTGTCAAAGGAGATAATAGCTTCTGTTACATGCAACGTATTTTATGGAGATTGATTCCTAGTTTGTAGCCTAGGGTCAAGCTTATACTTTGTATAGATTCTGTACAATTGAATGAGAATAGGAAACAAAATATTCCCATCTCAGAATTGGATGACCTTCTCATTAGCATGCTAAACACATACGGAGTATATACAGATTACAAGTCAAAAGCTAGCCTACAATTAAGGCATTATACAAGGGAAGGATATACACAAAATATACTCTTAACTAAATTAGAGATATGTACATAAAAGTATAAAACAGAATATAAGATAATTATATCATATATTCTAACAATAATGATGAAACTTGTTTCGGGTTTTCTGATGTCTTGCGGGAGAGTTACAATTCCGAGACTGGAACCGGACGCCTGTACCTGCAAAACAAACGGATGCTCCGGATGATTGGAGATCCGCCTCCGACGGTCAAGTTAGTACTTGATTAAGGAGTAATTAATGCGGAAATTAAAGTGATTGAGTCTCTCTAGGTGAGAGTATTTAATGTGTGTAATCTGCGTCTTTTGCGTAATCTCCCTTAATGAGGATTAAGGGAGGTATTTATAACCTCGGGAAACGTGTCAATCTAGGTTTAGGTTAACCTTGGGCTGATTGGGCTTCCCTCGGAAGTTGGGCCTAGGTGACCGGCTTCTCCGTTAGGCATGGAGTATGCCTCATGTCATGACATAATAAGTCCAGGGTGGACGAATAAGCGTGTGCCACGTGGCAAGCTCTGAGAGGTCCAACTGGGGGACACTTGGCAGGACCTGATTGGCCCACGTGGCGCATTCCGATTGGTGGGAGCAAAATCCCCTAATCAAAACTCATATGAATTATTTTCCTTCCTTTTTTTTAAAGAAAAATTAATTATGAGCTCAGAACGCCTAAACAGTAAACACATCAAACTAATCAGAGAAATGTAGAGGACCCTCCTTCCACTTAGGCGCAGCTATCCTCACAGCTCAATTATTTTTCCTTCCTTTCAAAAAATTCAATCAAATTCATTTCTTTTTTTGTTAAAAAATCAATCATAAAGCAAATCAATTAAATTCTTTAAATTTCTATTCAAAAAATCAATTAAGTCAGTCACATTCATATGAAATATTTTGTTTACAAATAAAGGTATGGATGTAACATTGAATGTGCTATCAACAGCTAATCTTAATCTTATATTAAAGGCAAAGATTTTTGTACATTAATCGGGAATTTATCGCATGCCATTATTTACTTGTATTGTATTTTTGAATAGTTGTTATGACTACTAGAGATAAGCCCGTGCGACGTACAGTTTTAGTAAATATTTTTAATTAATTTAAGATTTTTTTATATGAAGATCATTCATCGGATATTTGAGTAAAATTCCTAATATCATAAGATAATTTTTTTAAAAAAAAATTAACACTAAAGTTATCTTTTGTAGGTTTATTTATTTTACGTGGCACTTGACTTTAAAAACCCAAACCATATTCTTCAATTTTGCTTAATAAAAAATAAATGACAAATCATTTTATTTATTGATTAAAATAAGTCCTTTGCAAATGCATTTTTTTATATACTCGTTCTGTTTCAAAATGTTAGTCTCATCTAAAATTTTTTAACTATTAAAAAAATAAGGGGGAATCTTTCGTTTTATTCGTTTCGATGAGTACATTTTTAATATCTAATTTTTATAATATTTGTTAGGGAGAGATTAAAGATATTTACGATCAATGATTTACATCCATATATGTAAAAAAAAATAATTATTAGTTTTTATAAATAATTTAAATTTTAATTGTTCACAATTCGTTATTTTTATCTATGTGGAAAAATTCTTAAATCTTATTCGTCACTTTTTCTTAGGTGGCGAGTGAATTTTTTAATTCTAAAATAAATTATTATTCTTATGTGCACTAGTAGAAAAAAGCTCATTTGTAAGGCCCTATTAGTAACCTACGTATGTTACGTTAGTTACTGAAAGAGCATTAGTAACTAACAAAATTAGTGTTGGTTACAAATAAATTAATATTAGTAACCCGCGTGGTTAGGTCAGTTACTAATACTTGGTCAAAGATTGTCCAACCAAACATTAGTAACGTGCGGAAAAAAGGCCAGTTATAAATAGTTGGTACAACTTTACTAACCTTCTTTACTCGTAACTAGCTTTAGCAATAACTAGCTTTAGCAAAGCCAGTTACTAATCTTCCTTGATTAAACGGTTAAATATATCACGCCCTCAGTTTTACCTTTCTCTCTCATGAAGATTATGGGCTACCCTATTTCTTCTCTCTTTCACCCTTATTCAAAACCTTCTCTTTTCTCAATCCTCTTATAAGTTTGTTAGATCTCTTCGTTGTTTAATTACTCTGATTCGAAATTCAATGAGGTAGTACGAGGTGAATCTAGAGAAAATTAGATCTCTTAAGTTGGGAGGAAGAGGTAAAACCCTAGGTTTCGGGCCAACGAAGTGAGCGATTTCTCTGGTTTTGACGTTTCCAATGGGTCTTTATTTCTCAGATTTTGAAGGCTATGAAGTACACTGAGCACTACGTCGGAGATCCATCAAGTCTAGTCATCGTCCTTGCGTACCTTGCTGTTGAGGTTTTTTTCTCCCTTGTCTTGATTTCAATGATTTTTAAAAATTTGTTATTTTGTACGTTAATTTTGTAGGGATTTAATTTGCTAATAATTTTATTATACTCCGTAATAAAATAATATTTTACAAATCGTTTGAAGTTTGTGTAATTTGGTGTTAAATTTGGTTAGCCGTGAAGGCTCTGACTGAAATTTCATTTTGTCGGGCTAGGATTTGAAGCTATCAATCTTGTGTTTGAACAATTCATATATGTTTACTTCTTATTCTATGTGATTTCTGATTAATTGGTAACATATATATATATATATATATATATATATATATATATATATATATATATATATATATATATCCATTTTTTTTGTTCTTCATTTAAATTTATCTTCAATAATGTCATTGAGTTTTTCCCAAGTTTTTTGAACAATTATTTGATGTTAATTTTTCTTTCCTAGGTAATTAATTGTAGACTTATAGAGTAGTATTTTTGCAGTATATGAGCCAAATTTAGAGTTCATTAATTAGAATGGGGGTGTTAGATTTGAACAATTTTGTGAATTAATAAAGTTGTATAGTATGCATAATACTAATCATGTGAAAGTCCACTACTAGAATTTTATATGTTCAGCAAGATTAAAGTCATTACACTTTCATTTGCCAATTAAACGTGGTATTCTAATTGCATTTTTGTTTTTGGTGATTTTCTTTCTATTGTTGTATATAATGAAGCTGATTTTTTTGTTTATGTGTGAGGTGGTGTTGAATGTCAGAGTCTTAAAGTTAGTATGAGGTGTATATGAAACTATATGCAGTTGTTTAAGAGTGTATGTGAGGCTGCATGTGTGCAAGAGTGATTTTGAGGTTGTGATTATATGTATGGGGTAATGTGTTTTAGATTACTGGTTTATTATTTTTAAACAATAATTTACTTAATCAATTCATGATATTAAGATTAATTTCATTCCAAATAGGCGCTATTTTTACCAAGTAAATTATGTTGTGGAAGAACTCCAAAAGTGCCAATGATGATGCTGATGATGCAAAGACATTAAAGAAATTCTCAAAGCTTACTCCTGAAGGGGCAGCCTAAAACATGTTGATTCTCAAAAGGATGATGCAAGTGATCCAAAGAAAGGAAAAGATAAGAACAACAAGAAGAAAAAGAAGAAAGGGCCAACCAGAGACTCTAAGCATGAGAGTGAATACAAGAAGGGTTTGAGACCTGTTCTCTGGTTGACCCTATCTTTGACAACAGAGGAGCTTTTGCCATTGCTAGATGTATTAGCTAATAAGGTTAAGGCTGTTAGGGGACTTCGAGAACTTTTAACCACTAAGCTACCATTCGTGACATTCCTGTCAAGGTACTTTCATTTACCTCTTCTATATCATCTTTCAATGCTTCCTTGTGCTGATTTTTGTGTTTTTGTATGTTTATGTTGTATTTCTCATTTATTACCTTTATATGAGAGTTTGTGAAATTATTATTACCCCGTCATTTATTGAGTGGCATGTACCTGTCCTCTAATGTCCATTTTATACTTCCAATTTCAAAACTTGATTTTTTTTCTCTGATATTGTCTATCATTGGAAGAAACAATTCACAATTACTAGGATCTTATGGTAAAATCTTGCATGAGTTGACTATGTCATATAAAACGAGCCACTTATGCATGTTCCCTTCCATGAAATAGATATGGATTATGGACCTATGGTAGTATATAGTTCTTCAAAATTTAGTTAGATAAGTCTACTATTACACCACTCTATTGTAAACTAGTTTATTTGCACATTCCATCAAAATATAATTAGCAGAATAATTCCATGGATGGGAGTTTGTGTGAAATCGGATGTGAATTGAGTAAAGATCTATAACTCATCTATTCTAGCCTTTATCTCTCTGCCTTTCTGTCCCCATTAAGAGATAATTGACAAAAAGTGAGAACAAATAATAAACATATATATATATATATATATAAAGGAAATAAGTATGAGGCTGTGTACGTGGTTCACTAGTTCAGTGTGCTGTAGATGGGATTGGTTGGTTCTACTGCGTCGTGATCTAATTTTAGCTGATGCTCTAGTCCCATACTAAGTTGGAAGCTGATTTTACCATTAGAAGAGTATGCAAAAATGATGTGATTGTTTTTTTAATTTTTTTTCTTTTATATTAAGTGGTTAAACAGTAGATTGGTTGTTTGCATTTCCTATTCCCTATTTCCCTTGGTAGGAGAACGCTATTGTATCTTGCTTGACAAGTAGAGGATATAATATTTTTCCCTTATAAAATAAGTATATGAAAAAATATATATTTTTAATGTGATTTACAAGCTCTTTAGAAAGTTCTTTGGGATATTTGAGGGTCTCTTGTTTGGATAAATTTCTATTTGAACATTGCTAAAGCTAAATATAGCACAAGTCAAGTGATATGATCTTGTAGTACAGCTTCTCCAGAGTAAATTGTATGATTACAATTGCATATTGTGACAATTTTATTATGAAAGTTTCCCAAGGTCTAAACATCACTATTTTACAGGAAGCTTGTACTCAATCTGTAATTTCTGCTCTCACTGCTAATTAAGTTGCTGTTGTCGCTGCTGCCTCTGTTGCTATTGTCGAGCGTTGCTGCCTTTGTTGCTGTTGTCGCTGCTGCTTTAATTGGTGCAGTTAATTATACTACATACCTTGTTCAATTAATATCAATCTAATCATTGAACAATTGTCAGGATGCATAATTATATTACACTAGTAATTATTTTGGAGTACATGTTTTATTGGTTGAATTATAATAGGTTTTAACCCATAGATTAATACTCATTGTATTTATTATTGTACAAAAGTTGGGTTAATAATTTATGGTGCTTCACATTAAAAAAAAATGTAGCGTGGGTAATGGCAGTAGGGCCATCTGCTACTATTGCCATTTTTTAAAAATTTAAATAAAATGCTATTTACTAAAAATGTAGCGTTAAGATTTGCCAGTTACTAAAAATACCCTAATTGTAACCGGCGCAACTTAATGTCAGTTACGAATAGTATGCTTTCTAACTTGGAAAATTGACTTTTTTTAACTGGCGTTAGGTTGAGTCAGTTACGAATAGTACATTATTTGTAACTAACATTAGCCGGTTACGAATAATTTTCAGTAGTTGTAACGGGTGACATTCACAACTAACATTGCCAGTTACAAAAAGTCAGTTTCGCCAGTTACAAATAGCATTTTTTCTACTAGTGGTGGCGCGTCGAATGCTCCCGAAAAATGCCAACTTTATTTATATATATTAGATATGTGTACATTTTTTTTGAGGGGTTATATGTATACAAAATACAAAATTTGTCACCCAAAATATAATTTACTAGCAGACAAAGGAATTGTTTTTTGATATTTACGTAATTTACGCATTGTAACTGTGTTAGATACATGTCTTTGGACTTTTGGTTAGGTCGAAATTTTAAATGTAAGGAAAATGAATGTAATCACACAATTAAGAAAAAGGGTGTTGGTATAAACTTGCTTTGGGTATTAACCTTATGCATTGTATGTATAATTGATATTACAAAAAATTGTTATCATAGGAAAATGGCTTATTATAGACATTAGGACTTAAACTACATATAATTATCATTAGGTAAAAATCGTGTGTGTGGCAAATATATCACACGTAATATAATAATGTTAATTTGACTCTTGACTTGCCTCTATAATCTCTTAAAATATGATTAAATTCTTATGAATAGTCCTAAACGATTTTCCCATGGAATTTTTCTAAAGGTGGGTGTTTTATTGTTTTAATTAGTTATATTGAAGTATATGCTTATAGAATTAATACCACTATAGTAGATATATAAGTTACCATTGATATCAAACCTTACTTTGGTAACATGAAATGTGGTTTGTCTAGTGAAGACTAAAGTTATATTCACTATCAATTAAGAATATAACAAGATATTAATGAATTAAAAAGCAATACTTGGTAATGTCCAAAGAACGTATGGTCGTGGCCAATAATTAATAGAGATGTTTCATATAGGTTATGTCCTATCTGTACTTGGGTAAAATCTAATCCATATACACGAACACGATTTTAATTTACATATTCGTTTTTTTGGATCAAAAAAGATTTTGTATAATAATTGTATCGGTTTCTTCTTAGAATTTTCTAACGAACCCATATTCTTGAAAAACTTAAAAATTTTGATTTCAATTACATAAAACCGGCTATTTCGCATCAATGAATGGATATTGTACAATAAAAAAACAATTATTGAAGGAATAAAAACCCAATCCCATGTTCGCTAAAACTCGGAATTTGAAAAACTCAAAAATTTTGAATATACTATTTGGATCTGGCCATATTTTTTATGTCCATCGTTGCGCAAGTACCACTAATTTAAACTGGTCATTAATTAGAGGTTAAATTCATTCATAAATTAAGAACAATGAAAAAGCATGAAGAACAACGAAGAACACTGAAGAAAAATTTATTATTTTGATTTTTTTTATTTAATCTTATTTAGGATTTTATTTAAAAGTAATTTTAGTATAATATTTTCGAAAAAAAATATATAATTTCAAAAAATCAAAAATAATTTCCGAAAATGGCAAAGAATTACAAAAAGAAAAAAAAAAGGTTTGACCAACTATTTAAGTAAAGGAAAAATTGGCCAATCAAATTTTATTATAGTGGTGGTCAAAATGAGGAATGACCATATTAGAATTTTTATACATTTATTAGGATCATGTGTTTCCATATCATCAACTTTCAATACCGAATCTAGTAGCCATACCTCTTAAATAGAGACCATCAGGAGAGGCTATATGAACCTTTGACCGTACCTGACTTGTTTACTTTCATCAAAACACTAACCGACATCAGAATTCAAAATACATTATATCTTTCTAATCCATTACTGCATCTGCACATATGTATGATATAGAGGAAATACCTCAACTTGAATCTCAATTGACATGAAAGATGTGCTAAACAGTTTAGGCTATGTGTGATTGAACGAAATCTGGAAACATAATCTTAAATTTACGGAAATCAATTACAATTTTAAAGTTCAAGTTAGACGAAAATTTTATAGGTTACAAAAGAAATAAAAAATTCTAATAAAGAAGTATGAGATTTATACAAGACAAAAAAATTAACGAAGTAGAACAAAGTAGATTAAAAATGAACACAAATTTCATCCAAAATTATTACAATAGGAGAGAAGAAAAACTTCTAGTCAAGGTGAGAAAGAATTCTGATTAGATGCAAGTACAGAAGGTGGAAAGGCTAAAACAAAGCAATTCAAAATAGGCTAAATTGCTTATACTAACAAGTGAAAAATAAATTAACTTTTTTTTTAAGTAAACAATTGAATTAACTATAGACTCTGATTTTAAAATTTAGAAAAATTAAAAAATTACCACACCATAAAAGCTGCTTCAATGGAGGAGAAAAAGCTCGGTCGGCGCTTCAATGGAGAACTAATCGTTCACTTCAATAGAGGAGGGACTGAGGGAGAGTAGAGAAATAAAGGAGTAAGGGGAGAAAAGGGCGTAGGAAGAAAGGAAGAGGAAAAGTGTTGAATCACATCAAGAATAACGCCTAATGACAAACAAGTAGTAAACATTAATAGGGGTATATGGGTAAATAAATAATTTAATGTAATACGGGTATATGGGTAAATAAATATTTTGAGGAGTATATATTTCCTAACACTGTTCATAAGATCGTTCACTTCAATAGAGGAGGGACCGAGGGAGAGTAGAGAAATAAAGGAGTAAGGAGAGAAAAGGGCGCAGGAAGAAAGGAAGAGGAAAAGCGTTGAATCACATCAAGAATAACGCCTAATGACAAACAAGCAGTAAACATTAATAGGGGTATATGGGTAAATAAATATTTTAATAGGGGTATAGGGGTAAATAAATATTTTGAGGGGTATATATGTCCTAACACTGTTCATAAGAGTATTCTCCCACTTTTTATAAGATAGGGAATTATATACACTATATGACTAAACAATATAAGTTTGAAGTTAGATAACTCACCAAACATTGTACATTTTCTTCAATTAAACTTAAAATTTACACTTATAAAATTTCACACACCCTCCTCTACTCATTTAAAATTGAAATAAATCATTCATCTAAAAATGATTATATTCATGATTTTAATGTACATTTATAAAAATATTATTTAATGAAATATATATATATATAATAGTTATATGAATAATGTGTCATAATAAAAAGACAAAATATAACTAAAATCAATTAATTTTCTGTTTTTGTCACACATAGGGGATATTTGGTAATTAGTGTTTTGACCAAAAAAGACCTTATTTGACCAAGTTAGAGATTTGACTACACAAATCATCTATTTTGGGTGTTTGGTAAAAGAGCTTTTTAAATGAGTTGATTGGGACAAATCAGCTAATTTGTAAAAAGTTAAAATATAGTGCTTTTTAAGTTAGCTATTGAATAATAGGATTCAAATGATGACATGTTTGCCTTTTCAATTTCTTACTCTAATCAATCCAAAACTATCAAATATTCCAACCTTTTTTAAATTTTTTTTTTCTTTTTTTTACCAAAGCTCTTCTCCTTCTTTCCTTCCACGAAGCTACTGAAGGTGTGTGGAAGTTAGCCCACTATTAAGCATCTTCCAATTTTATTAGCCATAGTTACACTAAGGTAAGCTAATTTCTTTTCCATGTTCATAATTTACATTATATGTTTTTAATTATTTATTTATTTAATTGTTCATAATCGTTAATTGCATAGAAAATGAAACACTACTTGAAATGGTGTTGTATTTCTTTTCCTCATCATAACAAGAATTTTTTTTTTTCTCTTCTCTAATTTTTGATAATTATAAGGTTAGAGAAAGCTCATTTAATTCCTTTTTCCAAAGAAAATTTCATCTACCTTCTGGTTATTGGTATTTAGATCGACACTTGCAAAAGTTATTCTACTCATCAATTTTTGAGATTAGCTAAGCTAATAGTACGGTTTTATTTGTTGATTTGATATCGTCAATGAACATTATTTATTGATTTATTTTTTTGCGCGATACTGAGTTTTCTTTTATTAACATTTAATTTCTGCAATGTAAGTGATAAACAAATTATGATTGTAGTTATTAATGTTTATATTGTACTCATTGTGTGACTCATTTCTTTAGATTTCGCTGCAAATTATTAATTTTTAAGCATTGTTGAGATATTTCTCTCCCTGTATCTATTTGTAATGTGTACAATCTAGGTTTTATTTACACACTTTTTATGTTAAATTTTAGTGTTATTATCTGATTTTGTAAACTTTGTTAATATCTAATAGTCACGGTTTCTTACTTACATTATAGGTTACAAATATATTTTTATTTCATCTTTTTGACATTTTTTTATCTTCATTTTTGCAGGGCACTAATACAAACTAGATTGGTAATGATAATGGAGATTGGAAAACTGCCCAATAATTTACAACTCAACCTTGTGCAATTATTATAGCCAACCTCGTGATGATCTGCTGATTTGGAGTTGTTTGGCATTCATATTTTTTGAACAAGATGATGAATTCCGATGAACTTAAATTTATGAGAAATCATGTTACTGTACTGTACTGTTTTTAGGGATATTGTACTGTACATGAATTTGGACATGTGTATTTATTTTTATTGAACCTATTAAAGATAAACCTTCTTTGTATACTAATAGTTCATTTGCAAAAATATACAAAAAAAATTTCTTGTGCACAATTATTTTCATAACACAAATTTCCATTTAAGCAGCTATGGTGATTAGGTTTGTTAGCGTAAAATTTTGTTGGTCAATAGGTAAAAGACGATCAAATTTGTGCAAAACTATACCATGTTTTGGACGACGAATTGATGTATTCATTGCACAAAAGTTATAAATGGGCGGCGTCTTATGTCGTTGTTGCAAAAAGATCACTTCTTCGGCAACAAAATTTTGTGACGCACAAACTATACATTGGGCAACAAGTTTTGTATTAGTCACCCAAAATAGTTAGGGCGTCAATGACAAGGCAACAAGCTCACGACGAGTTCGGTTTCGTCGCACAAAGCTCGTTTTTCTTGTAGTTCAGGCGACGAAATGTAGACTTTGGGTGACAAATAAGTTTGTTGCCCAAACAATTTTTCTTGTAGTTCGTAATTGCATGATGGTAAGAAGTTTTTATAAAATAAGTGTTATAATTACATGGGGTCGGTTTTCTAAGAGACAATGATATTAACTACGATTTAACTCATATGATGACGCCTACGTAGCTCATCAAACCAAGAGGAACAATTCAGTTATTGTGTGATCTAGTAAATATTAAACCTTAAAGCACTAGTACAAAATTGGGCTTAAATAACACCCATGGGTAACACTTTAAAAATTTTAGAATTATTTGATTTTTACGTAACACTTTTGTAACATTGTTGTATTAAGTAACATTTTTTGTAACACATTAATATTATGTAACACTTTATGATAACACTTTGATATTAGGTATCATTTAGTTGTAACACTTAATTTGATGTTACTCAATCCTTTTATTTTCTAATTAAATATATTTTTCTTCTAATCCCATTGTAGAAAAAATTAATCGGTGCCCTTTACTTTAATTTTTCATTCTAATCTATCTACTCCTCTCATTCTCGCTCAAAAATGTTCTCTCAGCATGAGTTTAGATTCTTTAATCCATGGAGTGCAAACACAAGGCTGTTGGGTTGTCACTTCCACTTCATAGATCTACTTCGATCTTTGATTGTTCTTTGAAAGCGAAAGACGGGGTGATCTCTGAGCTACTACCAGGTTCGTGGATCATACAATTTACTTTGATTTTTACTATATTATATACTTAATTTAAGTTCATATGTTTCAAAGTCAACGTTTTGAGCAAAATCGATGAAATTAAGGATTACCCTTTGTTTGATTGATTAAATAATCTCATGGATTATGGTTCAATAATCGAATTGTTTTCTGGGTTGTGTTTAATTTTTAATGATTTAGTGGGGGGTTTTTTTGTGAAAGTTAAATGAGAAATTGAGGAATTGAGATTATGATAATTTGGAAATGGAACCTCAAACCCCATCAAAAAGCAAAAATTCGATGTTGAGGTCATGGATTTACTCTTCTCCAATCTCTCAATTCTCGTTCGGCTTCTTCGCTTTACTCTTCTCCAATCTCTCAATTCCTCCTATTTTTGTTCCTTCTCAATGAAAAATCGTTTCCACCAATAAGTTTTCACTTCCCTCCTTCTTTTTTTTTTTTTTTTTTTTTTTTTTTTTTTTTTTTTTTTCTAATTTAGGGTTTTCATGATGTTTGTTTTAGTGATTTTAGCTTTAATTTGTGTAAGAGTGTGTACAATTCATCCTCAATTTTCTTAAATTAGGTTATCTTTAAATTGCTAGTTATTTGCTGAAATCTGAAGTTTTAGTGATTTTACAATTCAATCTCATGTTTGAAATTTCTGTAAATTTCTATAATATAGATGTATACTACTAGTTAGAATATGGATTGATGGTGAAATTGCTGAAATTATCTTGACTATGTTTTTTGAAATTATGCTATTGGGATTTTAGCTGTTGTGGAGTTTCAAATTGGCTTGATTTTTTCAATTGGGTTGGTGTTGGTGCTTATGGAAAGTTAAGGCCATGTTTTATTCACATTGTAAGTTGACTAAGTTCATTTCAAGGCCGATAAGTTCGGATAAATAAATTCAAATGAGGACATATACGAGTAGATAAGTTAATTAATGGACAAGTTTATTCGACCAATTCCGGGCTTTGTACATCTATTTCATACCTCCTCCAACAAGAAGCTACAATATAGACGCAACTGTCATTGCTGTTGTGTTGATTTGCATTTAATATATGCATTTTGTAGCCTTTTATTGTGTGGGATTTTATATGTCTTTTTTTTCCTCTCTCACACTGCATTGCATTCATAGAATCATTTTACTTTTAATTTGAATTTCCTAGAATAAGTATCTCTTTTTATATGTGAACATGATCTATGCTGTACTTTTTTTAATGAAAACAATGATGCAGAGAAGGGAGGAAATGTTTCAGAAGCACAAGCGTCTCATCATAAAGACAGAAAGGGACCTCCAAACCATTAACAAATAAAACTAGCAAAGCTGAAAGGCGCACATTACAGGAGGTCACAAAGGTGCCAAATCTACATAAAAGATTCAGACTTTGTCATTCATGTGTGTGTGTGTGTGTGTGTGTGGGTGTGTGTGTGTGTGTGTGTGTGTGAGTTGGGGGAGGGGTTAGTCACTAGTTTGAATTTCTGTCAACTATCACGCTTAATGAAAATTTATGGATATACTATCAACAATTTGAGGAGCAACGAACAAACACAAAGTTTGATTGATGAGAGAATTAAGGTATTAGTGGCCAACCTATGCAGTGTGGAGACCTGGTGTTAAACCACCTATTCTTCCTGCATCATTGCTGATTCCAGGTTCCCTTCCCCTAAAGCTAAAATGGGTCCAAGGATCAGATCAGGCTACCTATTTTCCTAGACTTCCTGATTTTCGGGGTAAGTTAATGCTTTCATTCTTTATTGTTTTCTTATGTGATTTTGACAAACTATCATTGTAGTGTTTTATATTTCTATTTGAACTTGTGTTATTTTTTTTTTGTAAGTTAGTGGTTAAATTTAGTTTTATGCGATATAGCACCTCTATTTTGCAGTTGGTTTGATTTGAGGTTTGATATTATAGTGGCAGTCAAATACCCATGAGTTGTTGAATATTCATAGGGTCATTCTTATTTTCATTAGCACCCAAATTAGAATTAGCTAACTGTTGCAATACCCTTTCTACTAGGAATTTCTAAATTAATCTAGACTTTGTTTAATGTGCAGTCAAGTGCTGAGGTTCTCTTTCTATGCTCAAGGTACTCGAATTTCCAGTCAGGTTCTCTTTCTTCTTTCCTGTCTCTTTCATTTTTTTTCTTTTTTGGCTTATATTGAAATCAATGTGGAAAATACATCAATGCCTTGGAATCTTAGGCTGGTTGGCTTGTATATCCTAGTTTTGAATCTTATTTGTACCCTTTCTACTATGATTCTACCATGATAACTTTGTTTTTATATCTATTATTTTTATGCAAAAATCTGCCTATTTTGTGTATATAACTCAAGACTCTCTTATTAATACAGATTAGAAAAATATTGTTGGCTTAGTAGCTAATAATCTAGAACTTGCCTAATATTCTTGCTTCTCTAGGACAACATACATATTCATTTCAGGTTAAGATATTATGGTGTATTGCTAGAGCATGCTTCCAATGGTCAATTGTCTTTCAAATCAGACCTGATGCATTATCATTTGACTGCCATTTCTCCTTGAGCCTGCCAATTTCCTACCACTATCACCATTTCTTTCCCCTCTTAACATTCTATCTTCTATATTGAGCTACAAGAATAATGGAATTCAGAACTAAAATCAGAGCTGAAATTCCGAACTGAATTCAGAGCTGAAATTCCGAACTGAAATCCAGAGCTGAAATCCAGAACTGAAATCAGAGCTGAAATTCAGAACTGAAATCAGAGCTGAAATTCAGAACTGAATTCAGAGCTGAAATCCAGAACTGAATTCAGAGCTGAAATTCAGAACTGAATTCAGAGCTGAAATTCAGAATTGAATTCAGAGCTGAATTTCAGAACTGAAATTAGAGCTGAAATTCAGAACTGAATTCAAGTTGAATTTCAGAACTGAAATCTGCAAAGGGGAGTGTGTGTGTCGTAGTCGGCGTCATTTATTGTAAGTGTAGTGAGAATAATGATATCTTTTACTTAGATGCATATATTAAATACTCTGCTAGGTGTCTGACACTCCAAAAACCTGTTTGTCATCATTGATGTTCGCCGACTAACTCTCTTGTATGTTCTTTGTAAGAAGCAAGATCCAGATGGCAGATTTTGAGAAAGCTAGACAAACAAGGATAGAACAAAATAGAAGCCAGACAAACAAAGATAGAACAAAATAAAAGCAACCAGGGATATGTTCACTAAGGGGAAAGAGCAACAAACCAATAATTCCCGATGAGTTTTTAAAGCCCTATAAAGACCAAATTGTGAAAGAAACTGTAGCAGAATTAATGAAGACACTCAAGCAAATTGATCCGGAAGTGTTGGATACTTTGACTCGATCACTTGAAAATGTGTCATCCAATCCAGAACTTACAAATCATATTCCGATTGTACACTAATGAATAGGAGCGAAATGAGGTAATGGTTAATAATTTAATATATAATCTTTTAAAAAGCATCAATTCTTATTATTGCGTTATTTCATTTTTGTTCTGGTTGTTTGATATATGATGCTTTCACACATAAGATCAATTGGATCAAGATGAAGAATCGGGATAGCAATTTATGATGCTAGAAGAACTCTACTTACTTTTACCGTTGTTTTGCTGCTGCTACTGCTGTTTTGCTGCTGTCTTTTACTGTTACTACTACTACTGTTGTCTAATATGTTGCTGACTCTTGCTCATTCGGTTTGCTGCCACTGCTCTGTTACTGCTGGTACCAACTGATGTCTGCTACTGCTGGAAGCTTCCACTACTATCTGCTACTGCTGGTTGCTGCTAAAGACTACTGATGGTAGCATCTGTTACTGCTTCTGATGTTCGGGTAGCTAGCTGTGTAGCTGCTGCTATAAGCTGTTATTATTAATGCTCTTTACTGTTATTGCTGTCTTTTTTGAAATTTGGAAGTTTTTTTTGTTTTTCCTTACTTTTTCCAAGTTAGAGATCGAACTTAATATTCTTTGTGTTTGGATTATTATATTGTTTGGCCAAACATTAAAATTGGCGTTTATGGATTTTTTTTGTGAGAATTATGAAAGTATTTCAATCCAAATTGTTTTCTATCATATGTGTTGATTTCTTACTCATATAGTTGTTGTACATAATTTTTTTTTATATTTTAAAAAAATATAGTAAATAATAATAATAATAATAATAACAATAATAATAATAATTTTATTATTATTAATAATAATAATAGTAGTAGTAGTAGTAGTAGTAGTAATAATAATAATAATAATAATAATAATAATAATAATAATAATAATAATAAATTTTACCTATTAATCTATAAAGTGTTACATAACTTTGTAAAAAGTGATATATAATATCGAATAGAGTGCTACTATATGTCAAACCATGATTGAAAAATGTTACCTAATAATCAACAAAGTGTTACATTAGTTCGAAAAAATGATACATAATGTTGGATAAAGTGATACTATATAATTAAAAAATGTTACTAAAGATAAGTAAGTGTTACATAAAAAATAAAAAGTAACATTTTAAAAATGATACTAAAAATGTAAAAAGTGATACATAAAAGGGTTTATAATAACAATTTTGAAAGTGTTACCGTACGTTACCCAAAGTGTTACATAAGACCTTAGGTAACATGGGCGGATGTATAACCCAATAAAATGTTACCTATTGTCTATAATAACACTTTTACCACCTTGTGTAACACTTTTTGGGTGTTACTTGAGGTTAGTTTTGTACTAGTGAAGGTAATTAAAATTCTATGTCATGATGATTATTAAACAAATTATGTTATATGATTTAAATGATTGGTATCTTTGGAAGATTTTTATTAAGAAGAGATACAACATGGACATGTATGTAGGAACACCTTATATGTCAAGATTAATCATGAAGATATTTAGAGAAAGTTTAAAGTTGCTACTGACAAACATAAATTAAGGAGAAATCGATTGCATTTGTTTTGGTAAAATAAAATATAGGTCAGAGTCCAATTAAGAGATGCATCAATAACAAATGTTCAATATTACGAGCAAAAAAAGGATTTATGATGAAACCAGGAAAGACTAAAATGAATTAAAAGTAGAAAATATGAATGGTATGGTGATTTTAGTATTGCAAGAGTATATGACACATGATAGAGTGGCGTAGAAGGAAAAAATCTTAGTTATGACTACATAAGATAAATTAATAGTTTATGTACACATTTAGATATTGGGATTATTTAGATTTTTCTCTATTTTAGTTATTGTTATTGATTAGGGGATTTTTATCCACCAAGCGCCGTTTGACAAGTGGACCAACCAGGTTCCGCCACGCGTCCTCCACGGACCACTTAAGACACGCCACGTGTCCACCCATGCCAAATGGGACAACCGGCCATCAAGGCCCATTTCAGTCTAGAAGCCCGATCGGCCCTAGGTTTACCTTAAACCTAGAGAGTTGCACGCTTCCCAAGGCTATAAATACTCGATTAATCCTCATTAATCAAGGGACGGAATAATTAACGGAACAGAGGAGAAACATTACGGAACACACTAATAACCGGCTGATCTCGCTAGCAAAGCAGATTACCTACATTAAATACTCTCACCTAGAGAGACCTTATTACTTTAATTTCTGTGTTAATTACTCCTTAATCAGGTACTAACTTGACCGTTGGAGGCGGAGCTCTCAGGAGTCTCCGTTATTTTGCAGGTACAGGCGTCCGGTTCCAGTCTCGGAATTGTAGCTCTCCCGCAGGACATCAGAAAACCCCGAAACATCTGGCGCCGTCTGTGGGGAGAGTACTTCAGAGATGGCATCCAAGTCTGTACCGACCCCAGAAGAGAGGCGTCCCCTAGACGACCCTCAAGTTCAGTCGGACCATGATACCGAAAGTGAATTTGAAGTTGAAACTCATACAGCTCCAGACGGGACCCTAAGGGCCCGCCGTACCCGTCATACTGAAATAAGGGAACGGGAGTATCTTCAAACAGGAAGCGAGCCAGCAGGCGCACCGCTTGCTCGGCAACAGCCGACTGATGGGTCTGCTCCCATCACAAGGAACGAACTCATGACCTTCATGAGGGGATTCAAGGGAGAGATCCAAGAGTTGATCAACAAAAAACCGCCTGCTTCAGTCAAAGAGCAGGCGGCCAAAAAACCTTCCACTTCACTGAAGAGGAAGCCAGTTCAAGGGCGAGAGGCGACTCCCCATCCTAAATCTAAGAAGCGGGAGCCGTCTGCTCTTGATTTCACAAAACTCCGTTATCCTACGGGAAATAGGAAACCGGTTCGTCATATTCAGGCGGATGGGTCAAAGCAAACGTTCACAGATGCTCGGCACCTGCTAGAGCAGAAGAAGAGTGACCGATTATCAGAGTCGGCTTCTACTTCAAATTTTCAGGACAGTTTGCGAAATGCCTCGATGAGGCCAACTCAGTCGTACCATGAGAGTCAGTCAGGCGGCACCTCCCGACAGTCTGGCTTTCATAGTGCGCAGGCGGTACCAAATTTGCCATTTGTGCCGCAACAACAATATTTTATGCAGCCACCTCCATTTGGTGGACCTGCAGCAAAAAACGTCCAACCTATGGACTGGCAGCTACGGCTGCTTAGACTTGGTGAACAGCCGTCGGCCTTCTCCAAGGAAATTACTGACGCCGCTCAGCCGGCCAAAGTAAAAAATGTTTTAGTAGGCGCCTATGATGGCACTACTAACCCGGAAGACCATCTGATGGCATTCACCAACCTGATGTACCTTCAAGGGTTGGATGATCCCACTTGGTGCAAGTGTTTCCCAGCAACTCTCAAGGGAATTGCACAGCAATGGTTCGGCAACCTGCCGACTGGTTGTGTAAACAGTTTCAGGACGCTTGCTTACTTATTTGCCTCCAACTTTGCAATGAACATCCCTGCGAAGAAAACGACCCTTGATTTGGGAACAATTCAGCAGGGTGAAAAGGAGGGGCTTCGTTCCTACATCAGGCGGTTCAACCTGATGAGAATACAGATTCAAGGGTTACCGGATGAGGTAGCTTATACTGACTTTTTTAGAGGTCTCAAAGACGGGTCTACCTTCAAATTTGATTTAGTTCGAAAAAGGGTGGCGACTCTTCAAGAGGCCTTGATTGAAGCAGAAGCCTATATACAGGCGACTGATCTGTGTACAATGAAACAGTCGGACGGGAAGAGGTTCGACAATAGAGAGGGACGACAGAAACAGTCGTCCAACAAAGATGAAAAAAGAAAAGGGGTCTGGGCGGCTGATTCCTCTAAACAGCCGGCCAAGAAGAAAAAGGAATTCAAACCATACTCCCCAAAGTATGTGTTTAACAAGGATAACCAGTTTATCCTAAAAGAAATAAAGGGACGGCTCTCAATTGAGAAACCGCTCCCCATGAAGGGTTCTGCGAGCAACCGGAACCAAGACAAAATCTGTGCTTATCATGATGACATTGGTCATCACACCAACGACTGCATTAGTCTCATGCGGTACCTAGACCGCTTGGCTGATCAAGGTGATCTTGACACTTATGTCAAGAAATCTACGGGGAATACTTCCTCAAAAAAGCAGTCGGCCAAAAAGAATCAACAGGCCGACAGTTCCGATACAGATGATGCAGTCGTCTACACCATTGCAGGCGGCTTCTCAGGAGGCGGCCCCACTATTAGGGGCAACAAAGATAATATAAGGCGGTTAGATGTAAATTCCGTTCACCAAGAACGACCGTCCAAATATACATTTCCTGAGATTGTCGTCACTGAAGAGGATCTAGGAGGAATAAGGGGGCCGCATGACGACCCTCTCGTTATTGAATGTAAAGTGGCCAACCAGAGAGTTGGTCGAATCCTCATAGATACTGGGAGCTCTTCAGATCTCATCAGCAGCAAATGTCTGTCAAAACTGAAATATCAGACGGACTGCATACATCCGGCCTCCCACCCTTTAATAGGGTTTGGAGGAGGAGTCGTCCACCCACTGGGACGAGTTGATCTACCCGTCCGCCTGGGCGAAAAAGGGGAAGGACGACACATGGTAGTCCGATTCCTAGTTGTAGAGGAACTCTCTGCCTACAACATGATTCTGGGTCGCCCAACCCTGAATAGTGCCAAGGCTGTTATAATCCCGTCACTTATGCTGCTTAAGTTTGAAAGGGACAATGGAACAGTCGGCTCCCTAAGGGGAGATCAGAGGATGGCCCGAGAGTGCTATCTCTCGGATGTCAAACCCACTGCTAAGGCCACTGGGTCAAGTGGAGAAAAAACAGACCTTGACAATGTCAAGGAAAGTGCGCCTGTTCAAGAAACAGGCGACAGAAAAAGAAAGGCGTCCCAGACAGAGTCCGCCAGAAAGGCAAGAAAATAGCAATCATTGGCAGAGGACCGGCCGGATGAGTTCCGCCCTCAGCCGGCTGGTGAGCATACGGACCTGATATTAGACGACTCCTGCCCTGACCGAACAGTCAAAGTTGGGACGACTGCTCTGAGAAACCTTGGTGATGACTTTCACAACCTGTTGAAAGAATACAAGGACATCTTTGCATTTGAAGTCCATGAAATGCCAGGCATTAGTCCTGATCTGGCAGTACACAAACTCGCTGTGGATCCGAAAAAGAAGCCGGTACGGCAAAAGAAGCGGAACCATGGTGAAGAAAGAGGTCAGGCGGCCGCCGCCGAAGTCAAAAAATTACTTGATGCAGGGTTCATTCGGCAATGTTACTTCCCAGATTGGGTTGCAAATGTGGTACTTGTTAAAAAGCCGAATGGCACCTGGCGAATGTGTGTAGACTACACAGACTTGAACAAGGCGTGCCCCAAAGACAGTTACCCTCTGCCCAAAATTGATAACCTGGTCGACTCAACAGCCGGCCATGCCTTGATGAGTTTTATGGACGCCTATTCTGGTTTTCATCAAATTCCTTTGTGGAAGAATGATCAGGAGAAGACGGCCTTCGTCACTGATCAGGGATTATACTGTTATACGGTCATGCCGTTTGGTCTTAAGAATGCCCCGGCTACATTCCAACGAATGATAAACACAGTGTTCTTTGATCAGATTGGGAGAAACGTCGAGGCATACATTGATGATATGATTGTTAAGACT